TAATCCTTAATTTTTGAAATATCTTGCCATTTCTTGTAAGTCTTACATTAACCATTAAACCATTAAAAATAATATATCAGTTAGAACCGTTTTTCAATATATGCGTCGGTATGTAATGTTAATTCATATTTGGGACCTGGAAAGCATAATGTTTGTGTTTATATATTGTACTATTAATTCATAATACAAAGGTGCAAATTTATTTAAAATACTTTTACGGTGTATTTTTAAAAATACGCCGTTAAGTACGTTTTGAAATTCTGTGTTCAAATTTACGTGCCTACATCTTGCAAAAGACTAGTCCGTCACTGCAAGGTTTGCAGGTATACATGTGTAATTTTGGGGTTTTGTAATATTGTAGAAATTTAAACAATTTTCCAAATAAATTAAAATCAGAATCATCTATTGATATTAGCTTTGTCCTTCTACAATATTTTTTGCATTTACAACATGCAGACATGCTGGAATATTCTTTTCCACAAGCATTTAGAAACGTTATGAGCATTTATAGTACGATAACGCATCAGGTAGAGCAAACATCATTCGGATTATTTCTGCAAAAAAAAACAAAAAACAAAAAAACACGCCATCGGAATAACATACGCAGGCCCGTATCCAGCTTTTTGAATGGGGGGGGGGGGATGCGTTTTGCGAGCGCAGTGAGCAACCAGGCTCTGGGCCAGGGGGGTGCGTTTTGCGAGCGCAGTGATCAACCAGGCTGGGGGAAAAATTTGTTTTCTTAAGTCCTAGTAGACTAATTTGAAGGCATTTTATCATGTTAATCTCTATATGTCCACGAACACAGCGATAGGACCTATCAAAAAATTACCAGTGAAAAATTACTATTTATTGGAATAAAGGTCCCTCTCCCTCCTCGACTAAACGCCAGGCTCCAGAACGTCATTTGTAATAAACACGCACCTTCCTCGAGTCGAAAATCTGTCCAAATTTCCCCATTTCTTTTATTTTATAAATGATTTTCAACTGGCTAAATAATTATCTTATATTAGGCCTATTTCTATTTCTACAGTTCGTGGGTTGACAAAATCAAAGGACAACATATTAAAATCAATCTATACCTTCAGGACAACCGTGGTCTGGGTTTTCATCTTTCTTTTGGTTCGCATACTGTTCTTCTAAATCGGGTGGTAGGCATTCATTCCTATCTTCACGGTATTTTTTGTTGACCCAGTCATCCAATGTTTGGCAGGATTTTGCAAAAGCTTTTCGCTTTTTAATTTCCTGCTCCTTTATCCCCACTTTTTAACACGTGCGCGCTCCAGCGTCGAGTATACTCATTTCAGGGTATTTCTGAGAGCGCTAGGAACGATTATACTTGTCTAAACCGGGGTGTCATTCTAGCATTTTGACTTCATTGCTATACACTGACATACCTGCTGGTAGTTAGGGGAAGATTCACCTAGACGATAACGTGCATATAACGCGTGTATGTTTGTTGTGTTATGTTGCTGGCAGTACAAAAGATTGCGCGTGTGGAGTCAGCGCTCTAGTATACTTATTGTAACTCATTTGTACATTCATACAATCTTAATACTGTACTGTTATGTGATTCATTTTATAATGATTCTGCGAACAAGGTCACATTTTTTTTGTTATAATTAGTCGACGTTTTTCGATTGGGGGGGGGGGGGTGCGTACGCACCCAACGCACCTGCTCGCCTAAACAGTTTTTAATCCCTAAAGTTTGACAGGTGAAGGCATAACATTGTACTTTCGGCGGTCGATATTTCATTTTCCCAAGACGACCTTGATAGAAATTCCCGACAGGGGGTCCAAACGGGGTACAGATGTCCCCAACGGGGATCCTTTTTCCTAGCGCCCCCCCCCCCCCCCGCCCCTGTTTCGGGCACTAACCAGGGCTTACATAAACTGCTATTCAAAGCTAGCAGTACTTCTTGAACGTGCCAAATATTATACTGTACCGTTATGTCACTATATCATTGATCAAATGGAGCTGAAATTGCACCCCGTTGTTATAAATGCAAAATTTTGCATTATAACTTTTCGTATGCCTCATTTTACGCGGCAATTCCCACGGTAGTTTGAATAATATATAAAGGAAACACGCCGAAGCACCACAACCTATAAATTCATTATCTAATATAAGATATCAATTGTCTTAATTGAATGACTGTGTTCCACATATTCTGAAAAATATCACACATTTTGAAGGGGACGATAAAAATGTATTAAAGAGGTGATCGTCAATAGATGTAAAATGAGATTCTTCGGACAAAGTAGTCGACAGAATTACCTGTGAGTGAGTTATAAATAGAAGCGATCTATTCAGCCAACTTTGCACAACATCAAAATAGGCCTTTCTGCATGAGGGTTCCCATGTTACAAACTAGAATACTTGGAATTACAACTTTAGAAGATTTTCTCCTGACCCCTACAAGAGATATTCCCCTGGATTTCTGTGCCTTTCGCCTTATGGCTCTCATAATGCATTTTAGGAATAGGAATTCTGGTAACAGTCCTGAGTATAAATGAAAGTTTTTCAATTTGAAAAGTTTGTCGAACTAAGGTACAATGTATTTTTCACCATCGCTATTTTATCAACTGACCTAAAATTAGAATATGATGTTCATGAAAATGGAACAGGCCTATCTGATTATGTCCGTGAACAAATTGAAGATGTGGTGTTAATCTTCATTGACGTGGGTGGAGAAAGTATTATAGAGTGGCCTACTTTAAAATAATCCGTTAACTGCATACAATTTATGATCAGCATTATAGGGTAAGCTCAAAGTTATATATAAAGTCTAATCAGCCTGCCCACGTCTGGCCTAGAATGGCAGTCAATTAAAACAATTCATATTAGCCGAACATGGCCGCATTAATGACCGTACATACACTAACATGAACACATAGTACAAATATGTAATTACTGAGTCATATTAAATTGCCAATGAGGTTATAGAATTACAAATTCACATTAGTTCTACGAAATCAAAGAAGTACTGAGAGAAAAATGAATAATGGTGCTCTGAATATCGCGATTTCAGAAATATGATAACGGGAGATTCAATTCAATACTGAATTCAGAAATATAAAAGTGATGCCATCTATTTTACCTTACATTTAAAAGAAAGTCTCCCCAACCAGTATCCGAACCAGGGACCAGCTGCTGCTGTCTATGTCTTAACCGACTAGATCACTGGGGCTTTCTACTAAAATTATTTTTATTAGTAAGCTCAACCAATTATATTTAAATATGGAATTGAAAATAAAAACCGATTACAGAAAATACTGAATCAAAAATACTTTTTAATTACTACATGGTTGCCATATTAATTAAAAGCATCTAACTTTCGACTACTTGTGAGATTGGGCCTAAACTACTTCACATACAAGATCAGTTTGATTGGTAAACTGGTCACCATTAAACAGATCCCCCTCCAATTAAAGACCCCTTCAATACAAGACCATCTCAAACTAAAGACCACCTTTGTGGCCCCAAATGAATGTCTACCTTTTATTTTTATAAGAATAATTTATGTAATTGAAGACCAAAGCTGCTGAAAACCATAAAAACCCTGGTCCCAAAAGTTGTCTTTGGGGGGGAAACCTGTACTTTAATTTGTAACTCACAGCTCAATCTAATAGATCTAAAGAAACTTAAACTACTGCATTACAAATATGTATACCAGATCTTATTGCCAAGGTTTTTTACTTTATCCCAATGTTTGGCGCGCGAGTTAACAATTAAGCACCGCACATTCTTTAGGTTGTTTGGGAGAGGAGTATCTTGCCTTTGAAAAGGATCTCTAATTGAAATTTGATAAAGAAGAATGTAATTATAACTTAATATTCTATCTGGGCCGAGTTGACTCGAATTTTATCACTCACAGAGCTTAGCAACATCTAGAGAAAACAATTTCCTCTTTTGCAATTTTTATAAAGATAACTGTTTAAGAAATCATGCAATTTCTACTTCAAGATCAGATACTGTACATTGAATTTAGTCATTAATATATATAAGTTACACATAAATTTGAGACAATACATCTATATGTAAATTTTCAAGAGTATCAGCCAAGGGCGATATAATGCCCTATGAATAATGTTATTGTCAACTTCGCAAGTTTCATAACCAAATATTAAAAAATATTGAAACACACTGATAATAAAGTATTTATTCATTTGTTTGTTCTATATGAACATACAATAGAGACTTTTATATTAGTATATATGTTTTAAACTAATAATTTGATTTATCTACATGTGGTATATATTAAAAAACATAATTATTCTTTGAAGAATACTCACATGTAATGATCGAAAAAAAAACAACTAATAAGTCACTTATGAACAAATGCATTTACATGATTACTCAGCATGGATATACACAGATAATTAATTAGATCTCATTAAAACTAATCATGATAAAAACTAAGTATATATGCAAAGTTACCCTAACACCAAATAGCTAAGTATTGCACTAGTATGGTCACACACTACATTTAAAAGTAACAAAACATAGAATTTCCCTGATGAAATATATCTATTTCAGATGGATTTGTTACTTACCCATGTATGTATGGATTCGTTACTTACCCATGTATGTCTACACTATTATCTGAAGTAATTCTGCCATCAGTCTTAACACATTTCTCACTAATAGTACTAATGTACACTGTAGGCATTTTGTTTTAGGTAGCCGCAAGCCAAATATATAGAGGGTGCTGTCAAGTTATAATTCTGTTTGTACATAAATTGTACAGATCTGATACTATTTTGATTTGTTGCATGATTAATTTGTATTAGAATACTATGCCCATATAGAATTTTACAAACATATACACCCAAGCTTCTAATAATAACCAATGCCATAGAAGACACAAAAATGACACCTGCACATGAAACCTAATTAGGGGTCCCAAGTTGGAAGAACCCATTTCCAGGAGATTCGTTTAATGACATTAGGGGCGCTATATAGTCAATGAGGAAAAAGTGTAGGTACCAAACAAAGGGCCACGCCCACCTCAGGCCCACCATGATTGGGGCTGAGGTGATGACATTTTTTTAGAATAGGCACCTTTTGAAGCCTAAAAATGGCATTGTCAGACTGCAAAAAGTAATCTGCAACCAAAGTTTAGGCCAAATAAACAAAAAAAATAAGTTTTTCAATAAATTTGCTGGAGAATGTATTTCCGGGAGATTTTTTCTGTTTGCGGGAAACCATACCAATTTCCGGGAGACTCTGGGGAGTTCCGGGAGACTTGGGACCCCTTGTTTAATGAGGTAATTCAGATACTTACACCTGATGAAAAGTTAATTAGTACTAAATAAAAAGTAATTATTCATCTAATTACCATATCCTGTGATTGATTTTCTTGAAAATATTTAGAAATAAATAATATTGCATGTATATTATACAATAGTCATATAGTTCTAATGAATTATATATAATTAAAATAGTTAATTAATTAAACATGGTCAATAGAAACAATATTGCTAATCTAATAAATTATCCTGTGGGTAAAATTCAACCCAAGTATCAAGTAAATTTTCAACAACATATATTTGAAAAATAAATAATTATGTAGAATTCTTTAAAATACAATAAACATGAAAAGCATTTTCCTATTAAACGTTTGGTCATATATTCAAAAAAGAAAAAAAAAACCCAAAAAACATAAAAATAGTAAACCTGAATTACTAATAAACATATAAAATACAAAAAAATAACCAAAAAAAAAAAAAGGAAAAAAACAAAACAAAACAAATGTATATTTAACAAGATTTCTGAATGAAAATATTGTTTTTATGGTCTTATTCAAGGTATCTGGTTTTGTTCAAGGTTTTTACAAAAATTAAAATGTAATTGTAGAAGAGTTGCAATTTACTAACAAATCCTAAGTACTGTCATGACTTAAGATTTACGGCTTCTTAGTTTTCCCCACCAACCAAGTTCAAGAGTAGTTTCTTGTAGTCACCGGAAGTATCACCCTGAAATAGAAGTAAACACAATTTAACAATATATTTACAGTTCATATTTATAATGTTATGTACCTTAGTTCTGTGTAATTATCACCAACACACTAATCCCTATAAATTCAACAATCATCTCCAGGTAAACTGCCACCATCCTACCACTACCACAACCCATAATACAATCACAGAAACTACAATCCCCAGACCACTATGATATGCTATGATAAACATCATACTTGCTACAGTCCTCACCACCACTATCACTATATAAACTACCATCACAACCACACCCAAGACTACCATCATTGCAACTACCAATACATCTAATTATCAGCACTCTACCATCCATACCAGTACCACAACTGTCATCACTACACATGCTACTACTACCACCACCAATGGTATCACCACTGACATTTGCTTCCATTTCAATAACTAACACCATTACCACCGTTGTCATTGTCCTAAATATTTGCAACGTTACTACTTATGGAAAGTAAATGAGCATTATTTTGGTAAATACTAAGCTGATTTTGAAGTAACTTACAGCAATTGTTTTTCCAAGAGATTCTGAATAAGCTTTCTGGTATTCCCCCTTGATGTTCACCATATCAACCTCAGAACGTGAGATTACGATTCGCATCAGCTTCTCATCATCTGTACCTGCCCCCTAAAATTAACAACGATAAAGACATTAAAAAGGAAGTCCCACATTTCATGATTTGTCTAATGCACAATATACACCAATTTACAAGATTTACAAGACCAATTTAAGATGCACGCTAAATTAGAAGATGAATATGACAGTTCAAGTCGTCAAGAAACGCTTTGCAACTCTCAAATTTTGTACTTCAAATAACATGTGGAAAGAAACGAAAATACCTTCATTGTCTTGTGTAATTTGTCACTGAAGTACTTGTGCTTATTTCGAACACATCTCACTGTACAAAAGAAAATCCAAATGCTTAGCATAAAATTAAAAAAAAGTTACTACAAAACTGTAATATAAAAGAAAATCCAAATGCTAAACTACTTAAAAGAAATAAAAAGAAACAAAATAAAATGAAATTTCAGAAACATTGCCTGCAAAATCAGAAAATGATAAGGGGAAAAGCAGACCCTGCTCTAGATATGAAGATGAAACATTCACTCACTCCGAAACTACTGAAATTGCTATTTTCCTTGTTAAAAATTTTCCAAAACTGCAGTCATGCTGCACACTCGCCCGCCCCACCACCTTCCAACTCTCATCCTATTGAAAATTGTGTAATTGTCTATGAGTAGTAGTTCCCTTGGCTGAGTGTTGTTTACTTATAGTGTTATCAGATTACTGTCACTACCCTTCCTTTGCAGTGGTTCATTTTACCAAGAAGGAGTTCGCTTTTCCTATTTGCTTCATCTTTCAGTTCCAGTTTCTTTTATTCAAATCAAAATCACAGCCAAGGGTGAATCATATGATATTTACAAAAAATGTAGGCAAATATTAAAACAACAAAACATCGATCAAGCACAAGCACAAGACATGAAAAATGGAGAGGAAAGTAACACTAAATTACAGTAAAATTTGAAACATCAGAAGTACACAACAGGTTTAAAAAACATATACGTAATAAAATCAATTATTTTTTTTATTACTAATTATGAATCATTATTATTACTATATTATTAATTATTATTATTATTATCAAATATACAGTACAAATTCAAGAAGGAAAGATAAAAAACAATCATCCAAGCATTGCACAAAATTCAATTACCAATAAAATTACATCAAACTTGGGAAAGAAAAAGGTGACCATCATTTAAATTAAACAGAAATAAAACAAATAAAGTGAATGTCATTTAAAAGGGACCAATAACTCTGGGTACAATGTTTGTTGTCATGCATTTATTTAATTATTATTTTCATTGTTATATTATTTTCAAATACTGTAGTAGTCATTTTACCCCATGACTTATTCTTATTAGGGATATTAGGATATCAAAAACAGAGGGAGTAGCAGAAATGATTAACTCACCGATAGTAAGCATGCTGTTCTTCAGGTCACCTGACATCTCCTTCTTGATGGCAGTTTCGATATCATTCTTGGAGATCTTTGAATACTCTTCAAAGGTTGCACGTAGTTGTGCATAGCTGCGTGATGCCAAAATCACATTGAACCTTGATTCATCTGTACCCCATTTATCTTCACCAGCTTTATATAAATCCTATAAAATAAAAAAATAATATTTTAAATAATTGTATAATAAAATCATAAGTATTAATACCCATGTAATTAATATCATTCTTAGTATGTAGATGTCGTTGTTGCCCTCCCTCCCCACCCCTCCACTAAACCAAATGCTAATATCATCATCACCATCATCATCATTATCATCAACATCATCATTCCTACCAACATTATTTTTTTTAAATCTATTCACTGAAAAAATCAAATGAATTATTGTCTCTTACATTGGCATCATTTTTGGCTTTATCTGGATCAACGACATCACCTTCTGGACGACTTCCTTGTAAGACCGATATCAGAATACGTCCAAAATGTCCGGACGTATCATCTTCAACATCCTCCTCCAAATCCTTGTCATATTCTTTGAGAAACAATTTATATTTGAATTGCTTATTATTTAATGAGGAAATGAATCAATATCAATAAATTGTTTTTAATTAATTTTAATAAATTTATTGATATTAACCATAATAATACCTCTATGATATTAACTAACATTATGATTTGTTCTAACATACCTTCTTCGTAGGCCTCTTTGATTGCTTCAATAGAGCTGTTTGTACGTGTACACAGAATCTCAATCAACACATCTTCATCTGTACCAAGACCCTAAACATTAAAAAGGAACCGTTTTAAGATTTGCGCCATCTCAACTCAGCACTCTACTATCTGATACATCAATATAGTATTTGTCATTGTACTATCTATTAGCCTAATGTTCATTTTGGGGTGGCTGCCAGCAGAGAAGACGGAAGGGGGAGCTGTCGTGAAGAAAAACTACAGTTTGTCTGGGACAAAAATAATGATATGTATTTTCTACATATTAGTACTCTAAATATATTAAATAAGCCTTTGAAACCCTTAAATTGCCAATTTTGAAAGATTTTTAGCGTTGTCCGACCACGCCAACTTTGCTCTCGTCTAGGACTTCGGCCCTCCTCCCCGCCAGGGACCTTGGACCCACCGTCAAGCAATTCCTGGTGCCACTCCAGTTTTTATTTTTTTTCCCAAGTTTATTTTATATTGTATGGTTTGAGGGATTCAAATGATCAGCTATGCATGTCAGATCATACAAAATGATCAACAAATAAAAAAGTTAACAAAGATTAAGTAAAAAGGAGAACGCAGACATACTTTAATAGCTTTATTTAGCTCATGTGCATCGTACATCTCTGGTGTCATCATCAGCCCCAACAGCATTGCGAGCAACTTCCCGCTAAGCTCACTTTTAAACTCCTTCATCAAATCCTGTGGTAAAATGAAACCTTTCAATAAACAACTACAACAATCAAATGATGTGTATAAGAGACAGTATATATATAGTAGGCTTAGTAGCAGGATTACAAAAGTAATAACAGATAACACTTGATTTAATAGTAACATTGATTGTGTAGCTGTAATGCATGATTAGGGGAAATTTAGCAGTTTAACAACCATTTTTTCATAAATGTGGGTATCAAGAATCTCATGTACATTTTCATATCCTTTTGAAAAAAGGTAGAGATATAACTGTAAAAATTACAAACAATTATTTAACATTTATATAATTAAAAATGTTTTTAACAAACCTTGCCAAACATTTGCTTGAATTGTTTAGCAATTTTTTGACGCTGATCACTTGAGCGTTGACTTATAATGTCTATGATTGTCTTCTCATCGGTGCCAAAACCTTTCATGGCTTTCCGCAGTTTCTCCGCATCACCCTGGGGGTCAAAGTTCTTGACTGCGACAACTGTTCCTTTATCCTGTTAAAGAAATGTATAAAATAATTAAATATCATTCTGTATTGTCGACTTTAAGTTAAGTTTAAGGTTTCATCACATACCAAAATTTGTAGCCTATACGCAGAAAAAGTTTATAATGAAAATTTTACGAATCTTGGCAATTTAAAATGGCTAAATTTTCACTGAACTGAGGGATTTATGAAGCTGGCTTAGATGCAATGTGCATTCTTAATATGTTTGATATTTTTTTTTACATACTGTAAATCAAGGGATGATACACATTTATTACAGTAATATATATCCAAAACCTTGCAAATTAAAACATTAAACAATATTATATAAACTGAAGCTAAACTTATGTTTAGCGACCCCTTTGTGACTCGACTCAACTCAACTAGTTGCCGGTAGCCCTCACGTCAACCTTCACCCATGATCTCGCAACTACCATACAAGCCACTACAGCAGAACTAGTTGTCCAGAGCGATTACCACTTACAACTCTTCAACTAGTCACCATGCAACACTACCCTAACAGGATAGCATGCATTACATACATTAACTGGATTGAACTGTCTTCTGACCGATTTTCAGTTGCTTTTGATTGCAAAGATTGCTCATATCGCCTCATTTTGTGCAACTTACAGTTGCTGGCCGGTCTCAGTTGAGATGAGCTAGCTTAAGTCTCTGTGAGGCTCAGTGAAGTGGAGAATATCCTAAATTTCTAATATACAACCAGATACAATTATGCATCAACAACAATATCCTATATATAAGAACTTGTTAAACCTTACCTTAGGTAGTTTCTCTTTGTAAGATCTCTGTCCTTCCTTTAATCTATCATTCTCCTTTTCCTTTTTGTTCTTGCTTTTTTCTTTTTTTCCTTTGCTTTTCTTTGTCATCTTATCCAGCATCTCCTGCCCCATAGAGGAGGCAAATAAGGATACAGTGCTCTCATAGCCACTCTTGACAGCCAAGCTGTAAGGGGTGTCTCCTTTGGCATTCTTGATCTTTGGATTGGCATCGTTCTCTAATAGCATCTCAACAATTTCTTGGCCATCTGGACCAAGTAGTACAGCCTCATGGAGAGCAGTGTTACCTTTCCTGAAAATTGAATGATGTTTTGGCTTGTAACACAAAGAGTTAACAATAATAATATTAATATGGCAACAACAACAACAACAACAACAACAACAATAATAATAATTATAATGCATTTTATTGAATAATTATAATAAAAGAGAAAACTTCATTGGTTTTCAGTTAATAGATTGATTACTGAAAATAAATGCTAAAATAATGCTAAATGACTGTCAGAAAACTGTTTACCCAATGTAAGCTCACATGTTTCTTTATTAACAAAAAAGAGATAACATCGATTTAGAATACCTGGCAGGAGCCTTGCTGTTGATTTCAGCTTCAGCATCCAGTAGGATAGCAACGGCATCAATGTGGTTGTTCATTGTTGCTAAGATCAGGGCTGGTGTGCCATCTTTATTCTCACAATTTGGATCTGCTCCCTAAGTTAATAAAAAAAATACAATTCATAACCCATGAAAGTCTACAAAAAAAGGTCCAATGTGGGTCGCCTTGGTAGTGATTACTGCATTCTTTAACATGTAACCATACTGCCCATGGAACGAACAGCAAAGATGATGCACTATTTTAACTTGCATTTAAGCCGTCAAACTGAAACACACGGCGATCAGAAATGAAACTGAACAGGAACAACAATTTGAAAGGATCTTGACATCTCAAAAAGATATAACTTACTTCATCTAACATATCCTGTACAACCTCTTCATCACCCTCTCCATTCGGGCCAACCTCCTTGATGAGCTTCTTCTCCTCTGGAGTCAGTCTGCTGCTGTTTTCAGTCTTTGGTGATTTACTCTTCCCTGTTTTCTTTGCTCTTGTCACTTGTTTGTAGGGTGAATCTGAAAATAAAATTATAAACAAATGCTTAGGGATAATCAGTATATTAGTGGTGATCATTATATTATTAGTATAATGAAATATTAGTGATAATAATGACAATTATGATAATGGTGATGATGACTATATCATGCTGACGATGATGATGATAATGACTTCAATGATGATGATAATGATGATGTTAACAAAATTATGATGATGATGTATGCAAAGTATTATGATGATGTTGACAATGGTTCTGATGATGACAATGATTCTGATGAAGATGACAAAGATGAGGAAGACTTAAGACATACCATCTTCTTCCTGAGCCAGCCGTTTAGCACGTATTGCACCTATGAATAAAGTATTTATAAAATTATTCGAAAAATAAAGCAGTAATTGCTCATAACGCAGAAATTCTAAAATTGCAGGCTATTGTATATTATTGCTGGGCATTTGTAGGTTTATGTATTTTTGTTTGTTTGTTTATTCATTTACTGCGTACATAAACACTGACAAAAAAGCAAGATCATTCTGAGGAAATCCTGACTATCACAAAACTGTTTACTAAAAAAAATCACCAGACCTCTGCAAGTACGGTTTCTATGCACACAAGAATCAATTCATATAATGGCTTAATAAAAATACTATACTAAAAGCTCTTTCAGTTATATTCTTTACATACACACATATGCAAACAACATTTGTCTTAGTTCCTAATTTTATAGCAAAACACATAAGACGAGAACATACTTTTCCTGACTTGCGAAGCACGGGTGCCTTTCACTGTGTTGTCGCCCCCTCTAGATTCAAAGCTTAACACAAGTGTTACATCTACGCCATCATCATCAATCTCCAATGATGTAATCTGAAATTATAATTTTCACAAATAAATTGAACGGGTATTAGTTTGAAGAAAATATTGCCTAAATATTGCATACCATCACAATTAAAAGTTTGGATGTATTTTTGGAGCTGTTGTTATTTGTAGTGTTTCTTACAATAAAACAACAGGAGTTGTGCTGGTAGTGTGAACTCACACTTATAAATAAGTCAAAATCTGCCACTAACCTTTCCCATTCTTGGTTTCCCAACTTCTGCTCGAAATTCAGAGTTTTTCTGAGTGTAGGCCTCTAGATGAGCACAGATGTGTGCAATTTGTTTCTTCCAGTACCCCCTTCCTGGACTGATGTCAATCAAATTTGGTACCATCTTGGTCTGCGATGGGCTGTCCTCAATCATTCGGTCTACATTGATGCGCTGCTTTTTCATAGCTTGTTCCTGAGTAGGATAAAACAAGCCTACAGTCTGCGTACCGGTCGATTGATTTAGCACAGCTGGCAGTGGAATTGATAGAGGGCGCCAAGAATTCATGTCCAATGACTGAGTGAAGCATGGAATAAAAATGTTTTAGTAGACATGATATACTGTATAATATTATTGAATATTTTTATACTTATAACTCATAATAACAGTAATATAAATAATGAATATGTAATAACAGAGAGTTTAAATTAAGTAAACATGGTTTAATATACTCACATTGACTTGAACTGGAGGTTGTACCATTGGCCGTGACTGGGGTTGAGCACGAGGACTTATCTGTGGCTCGTGCATGTGGTAACTAAATCAAAAATAAATCAACGTCAGAAATTGTATGTGCCTTTCTACATTATCTGCTTTAACAGAGTAAGCCACATGACAATATTGAATTATTTAAATATTATTAAAAGTATTACTTACTGGAACATGTAGTCTGTACCAGTTGTCCGTGTTTGCATTGTTGGTGGGACTGGGCTTGCACTCCCCCAAGCTGGGTATGGCATCATTGGGGCCTGAACACCAACCATTGGCTGAATGAAAAATGTCCCACAATTCTTTTGGTGAATGTTAAAGCATGATGGTAATTTTTTTTTTGGTTTGTATATCACCTTCCACAATGTTACTGTAAAGTAACATATAGTTTAAAGAATGGAGAAAAATTGAAACAAATAGTTTGTTTTTTAAACAAATAATTTGTGAAAGATGTTAAGCATAAATACTTACATATGTTTGTGTCATAGGGTAGTTGTTTGTGGATCTTGTAAGGTCAATAATCCCATCAACACTCTCATTCAATCTCTGAAATAAATCAGATAGAATGATTATTATTTTCTGCAGATTATGTTTATTTGTTTAACATTTATTCATCCACAAATCACAAGCTAAAATAAAACAAGCTAAGCTTCTCTGAACTGCTATAAACTTCAACTTCAAATCTTTGGCAAGTCAAGTTGCAGAGCAGTAAGGCAGGGGTACAGCCTTAACATCAGTGCTGGTTAGGAATAGTAGAACCAAGTTCCTTCAGATAAGATCTCAGTATGTTGTTTGAAGAAATAATTGGAAATAGCTTATAAGATATAGATTTGTGAATATTTAATTATTATACCCTGGATTGGAAATAGCTTATAAGATATAGATTTGTGAATATTTAATTATTATACCCTGGATTGGAAATAGCTTATAAGATATAGATTTGTGAATATTTAATTATTATACCCTGGATTGGTTTCTGCTACTTCTTCTTGTGTCCATTATGAAGCTTTGGTCATCGTCTTCGTTGTTCGTATCAACTTCAGGTGGAACATATTCCACCATAAATGTCTTGCTAACAACATCACTTTCTCTCAGACCATTGCTGTTGGGGAAAAAAACATAATTATTTTTAAAAAAAACTGTCAACATTTTTTTTAAAATGGACAATCTCATCAGTTAAAGTAGAGTATTTGAATTGCATTAGTGTCTACTATTGCATTTGAAAAGTGTCTTAACAATTTACAATACAAAGTGAATATGTTAGCCTCAACAATTATAAAGCAACATTCATCCGTGGGTCACCAACATTTTTTGGTGGGTTGTGAAGCCTTGACAGAAATCACCAAAATCAGTTCTGTTGAGTAATAATATAGGCATTATGATAATTATTACTGTCATCATTATCAGTTTAGACTGGAACCACAGTTCATGGTGGCAGAGCTGAGGGATTAGCCCTAGTGGCCAGCACTCGCGGGTGCTCTCTGGGGTGTTCATTTTCACAGAAATAAAAAAAAATAATAATAATAATTAGAAACACAACATTTTGTAAATTAAAGGAAGCCATCAGTCTTAACATACTTTGTTGTTGATTTGCAATGATACAACAAAGTACAATCCGGATAGAATCATCATTGTTTATTATAATTTTGTTGTAATATTCATGAATGAATTTCTGAACAGTGTCATCACTTATCTGGCTTTCTCCAGACATATTTGCATTTTCTATACTTAATATTAATAACTATTTTGTTTATTGTATTTCTGATGATGAATTATATATGAATAAATTGAACTTGAACTTGAGTTTGAGATGCTGGAATAGTTGTTAACTTCATTTTTTGTACAGTCCCACTGATCACAGGATGCTTTACCTGCAGGCTAACTGTGGGTCAAGGATGCATAAAATAATGATAGTGTGAAGATGTGTATAAGAGACAGTTATTACTGTCATCATTATCAGTTTAGACTGGAACCACAGTTCATGGTGGCAGAGCTGAGGGATTAGCCCTAGTGGCCAGCACTCGCGGGTGCTCTCTGGGGTGTTCATTTTCACAGAAATGAAAAAAAATAATAATAATAATTAGAAACACAACATTTTGTAAATTAAAGGAAGCCATCAGTCTTCATACTTTGTTGTTGATTTGCAACGATACAACAAAGTACAATCCGGATAGAATCATCATTGTTTATTATAATTTTGTTGTAATATTCATGAATGAATTTCTGAACAGTGTCATCAGTCTAAAGGTTTGCAGAATGCTGATCTAAATCACCAAGTATAAACAGGCATCCTGTTTGATTATTATGATTGTTCTTAATCCCCATTTGAAAAATTCTAGATCAACCCCTAGTGTATGCAAAATGATCTTCAAATTTAAATGCAAATTTCTAATTGAGCAATGCTCATGAAGTCTAATGTGAACTACAATGTTTAAAATCATTCTTATTGTTTATATTTCATAATACTTTCATCATTAGTGCATACTGGCATACCTTGAAACAGCAATACTTTTAATTTGTCGTTTGCCTTTGTTTAGTAGAAATGGACCCTTGTATCGAATTGTAGATTTATCAAGCTTGTTGAAAGGCGCCGGTTTGTTTCCATTTGTGGTGAAATATACGGCAGATCCGTCTGAGTCTGAGAAGAGATAATTACATAATAATTTCAATTATGTATTTTGTTATCACTGGTGAGGAGGTATAATGTTAATAGGTAGTTTTTTTCGCCGCACAACGTTAACTTTAACTTTAACGTTAGCACTTTTGTAAACAAATTAAAATATGCATGCGCAAACACGTAACTAAGGTATGTCAAGCACGTAAAATCTTGAAATTAACGTGCTCCGCAATGCAAGATGAATAAATTATGAGGCAAAAACTACCTAATGTTCAAAACACAGCATTTATAAAGTTACAAATTATATTAACATCTAGTCAGAAAATATAACCAAAAAAACAAAATGAATGAAAATGGATAAATACCATACTGTAGTGGGCTTATCTGGCTTTCTCCAGACATATTTGCATTTTCTATACTTAATATTAATAACTATTTTGTTTATTGTATTTCTGATGATGAATTATATATGAATAAATTGAACTTGAACTTGAGTTTGAGATGCTGGAATAGTTGTTAACTTCATTTTTTGTACAGTCCCACTGATCACAGGATGCTTTACCTGCAGGCTAACTGTGGGTCAAGGATGCATAAAATAATGATAGTGTGACCCGCAGAACCCAGAATGTGGTCACTATAGGCTGAAGTAGCAAGGGCAGGAAGTTGGTAAATGTGGAATGCTTTGAAAAGTACAGTACTGTAGAAAGTACACTGCTCATGATTAGTACCATACAGTATGTTAATGTTGTTGATAGTCCAAAATGAATTGTAAATTTTGTATAGAGATTCAGAATTTATTTGTCCTTACAGAAAATTGTACGGGCACAATCCCTCATCAAACACAAATTTACATTTCATACAAATTCATAAATATCAATACTATAATACATAACAATTTAAAAGATTAAAAACAATCATATATACATTAATAAAGAGATCATAAGGTGAACATTTATACATGAGTCATAAATACAAGTCATAAATACATCCATATGAATGCACTTTTCTGGTCTCTTAGGGCCTGTTTCTGCTGAGGAAAAAAGCATGCATGCTTTTTTCCCCAACGGAGCCAAAAAACAAAAACATGATTTGGATTGCATTCTAAAACGTGTGTTTTAACATACTGTATATTCGTTCTAGGGTTGGCATTCAGAAAGCACACATTTGCGGTATACTTTTAAGCAGCAACACAATACTGTGTTAGCATTGTCCCACCGGTGACTCAAATTGACTGAAGTATAGGCAGTCGTCGTTTCACGGGAGATTCAACGTGTTGCCATTGCCAATTCACATGTAATATTAAGTGAAATCGGCTAATGCTAATTATTAATAGGCTAATCCAAATTAATTTTTCCTTTTGCGGTGTTTATTTCGAAGCAGTAATATTAATGCACATGACAACAGTATGGTCAACCTTAATTTCCATCGGTGGTCGTCAGCCCACCCACCAATATTCACGTTACCATGTTTCTAATTGTTGCATTTTTTCACTAGAAACGCCTTCCAAAGAAGTTAACTGTATTTAAAAAGCATATGTTTTTTGAGTTATTTAGCAGAAACATGCCCTTACACAAAGTTCAGTACAATAAAATTTATTTTATTGTCATTTGTAAAATTCATGTACATACAATTGCAAGGCTGCTTATAGATAAATGACAGGTAATAACAAGTAAAAATATAATAATAATAAACAAACTATCCCTGCCAGACACCATTCATCATTTATCCTCTACATTAACTAATTATTTTCAAAAGTATAATAAATTTCCCCCTATTCTAGAAAATTAGATATTCTTGTCTGTGATAATTGTTCACAACTTTATTATGTCCTTTTTTGTACAGGTCTGTCATTTAAAATCTATATTATACTAAACTAAATAATATACTGTACTAAATTATAACTCTGATTGTGATAACAATATATAACTGATAAATAGATAAAACATTGTATATTGAGCAAATTTTTAAAACGGAGTAGTGAATGTTAATAAGCATTACAATAATAATTATAGTAATAGTAATAACAGAGTTTAATTCTATCTTTATTCTGGATAGGCCTACTTTTAGGGGAAAATCTAAAGGTCCCTAATAATATATTATTATCATAAATTTTATTTTATTTTTTATTTAAACATTTATTTCTTCTTTACACTGGGTGACCAGGTTAGTGCAAAAGCATTGTTATCATCCAGGGGCCAGCATGGCAGAGTGAGTCGAATGGCAGAGCGGTTCAAAACACCAATTCACATTTCATACAGAATTATTAATATCAATACTATAATACATAACAATTTAAAAGATTAAAAACAATCATATATACATTAATAAAGAGATCATAAGGTGAACATTTATACATGAGTCATAAATACAAGTCATAAATACATCCATATAAATGCACTTTTCTGGTCTCTTAGGGCCTGTTTCTGCTGAGGAAAAAAGCATGCATGCTTTTTTCCCCAACGGAGCCAAAAAACAAAAACATGATTTGGATTGCATTCTAAAACGTGTGTTTTAACATACTGTATATTCGTTCTAGGGTTGGCATTCAGAAAGCACACATTTGCGGTATACTTTTAAGCAGCAACACAATACTGTGTTAGCATTGTCCCACCGGTGACTCAAATTGACTGAAGTATAGGCAGTCGTCGTTTCACGGGAGATTCAACGTGTTGCCATTGCCAATTCACATGTAATATTAAGTGAAATCGGCTAATGCTAATTATTAATAGGCTAATCCAAATTAATTTTTCCTTTTGCGGTGTTTATTTCGAAGCAGTAATATTAATGCACATGACAACAGTATGGTCAACCTTAATTTCCATCGGTGGTCGTCAGCCCACCCACCAATATTCACGTTACCATGTTTCTAATTGTTGCATTTTTTCACTAGAAACGCCTTCCAAAGAAGTTAACTGTATTTAAAAAGCATATGTTTTTTGAGTTATTTAGCAGAAACATGCCCTTACACAAAGTTCAGTACAATAAAATTTATTTTATTGTCATTTGTAAAATTCATGTACATACAATTGCAAGGCTGCTTATAGATAAATGACAGGTAATAACAAGTAAAAATATAATAATAATAAACAAACTATCCCTGTCAGACACCATTCATCATTTATCCTCTACATTAACTAATTGTTTTCAAAAGTATAATAAATTTCCCCCTATTCTAGAAAATTAGATATTCTTGTCTGTGATAATTGTTCACAACTTTATTGTCCTTTTTTGTACCTGTCATTTAAAATCTATATTATACTAAACTAAATAATATACTATACTAAATTATAACTCTGATTGTGATAACAATATATAACTGATAAATAGATAAAACATTGCATATTGGATATTGAGCAAATTTTTAAAACGGAGTAGTGAATGTTAATAAGCATTACAATAATAATTATAATAATAGTAATAACAGAGTTTAATTCTATCTTTATTCTGGATAGGCCTACTTTTAGGGAAAAATCTAAAGGTCCCTAATAATATATTATTATCATAAATTTTATTTTATTTTTTATTTAAACATTTATTTCTTCTTTACACTGGGTGACCAGGTTAGTGCAAAAGCATTGTTATCATCCAGGGCCCAGCATGGCAGAGTTAGTCGAATGGCAGAGCGGTTAGCAGGGGCGCCGCAAGCTATAGCCATACTGTAATATCGGCGCTGGTTCGAACGGTACACTCGCCTATGGTTCTGGTGGTAGAACAAGTCTTCTCGGATAAGGACTATAAACCGTAGGCCCAGTATATACAATGGCCTGTGTGCACTATAAAGAACCCAGTACATCCATCGAGACGAGTAGGGGGATAACCCAGTGTACTAGAACAGACAGCCCCTGTGGTTGATGACGAGAGTTGCTAATTAATACCGAATTGCTTATAGTTTCTTAACTATGCTATTTAGCTTTCAATTGAAAATTAGAATGTTTCCTTGGCAACTAAGACCCTACTAGCTGGTAATCAAAAACTGAATTTTGTATTTAAAGGTCTATAAATCAGTGAATTTTTTTTTTATTGGTCTTTGGAAATAAATAATAAAATATTGTATCCTTTTAACTAAGATATTTAATGGAATTTTAAGGGGTTTTTTTCCTGATTTTATGACAGACGGCCTTAATGTATTATTGTTATTATAATGTTAATTAAAATTTTTACCTGACTTGATCTCTATCAAGGTGTTTGTGTCTATCTGGTTCCCACTTCCAGTACTGTAAGGAATACGTAAAGGAACGATGTTTGGCACGGCAATACCACCTGCAGAAGGCATCTTTAAAGAGAAAAAACAAAACCATGAATTCAGTACTTTCTACTTCCAATTTAGTTCACTACTACTGTAGCACTTAACAAAATGTCAGTTTGTGACCTTAGGTCAGGGGATGGCATAAAACATTGGGTGGGAGGGCCAAAGTGAATTTTCAATTTAACATTGAGGGCCACACCCAAGTTTTTAAACGAAAATGTGACGTTTCCAGTGTGCTTGTAAATTCATGTACTGCTTTTATACCATTTTATGTTCAGTTTTATACTTTCTGGAAGACAAATACTTATTTACAATCACTCTACAAAAGTGCCATACTGTAAAGTATGTGAAAGCGGTTGGTGCAGCGGTTGTGGCTCAGTTCCAACTTTAAGGTCTGGGGCTCGAAACCCTCGCTGTGTAAGTTGTCTGTGTCCTTGGACAAGGCACTTTATCTATGTTTCTCTTTCCACCCAGGAGTGGGTACCTGGTAGCATCTACTTTAATACCAAGCGCTGATTCTAGGGAACTAGAATTCAATAATGACTTATGGAATTGTGCTCCCCAGGGAGCCGAGAATGTTTTCCACTGGTGTTTGGTCCAGTGACAGATTTATTGCATAAATATCACATATAAGGGCGTTGATCCATCGAAAAGTGGGGGGGGGAACAAATTCCAAAATAAGGAAGTCTTGGGCCGTAGGCCCAAGACTTGGTAGGGGCCACCCAGTGCCCCGGTGGGGTCCGGGGAGGGGGGGCGAGGTCCCCAGAGGCCCTAGCATCTGTAGCCTTTTATAAGTCGTATCTAATTAATCTTAAGGAATGCAATTAAAATTTATTTTCACACTACATTTCCAAAATGCAGTGGCAGGCCCAGGAATTCCAAGAGTGGACCCAGGGAGGGAATTTTACAAATGGAGTATAGACCACCTCAGCCCCACCATAGTTGGGGCTGAGATAAGAAAATTTATGATTATCGTACCTCTAGTTGGCCGGAAATGACACTTTCAGACTTAAATTTGAATATAATTTTCTTTTTTTCTCCACTTTTAAATTTTGAAAAAAAATAGGGAGGGTGGGCCAGCTGGTCCCCCTTGAATCTGTCACTGAAATACTCATCATAATTTTTTTTTTTCAATTTATCCTTGTAATCATAATCATGCCCGCTTACATATTTCGTGCAAACTAACATTCATAAAAATAGTGATTTATTATCTACTGATTAGCTTGTGACATATTCGAACCATGAAAAACAAATGATAAACCATGTTCTTCATGAATAAACTTAAAACAGTCACTCCAATTCTATCTTTGCATGTACAGTACTTTTAAAATAAATAAAGAGGTTTTTCCTTTTCTCCTCTTTTTGAATTTCAGTTTTTGCGAATAGTATTGCGACTACACTAATTGTGAGTGGAAATACTGTACTACCATCTAACTTAAGATCAAACAGGACTATTAGGAGATAGGAAGCACACACAACATTAGCATTTTTATTTCATAAACATAAAGGGTGATTTACTTAATTTATCATTATCATGCAATGGGCGGATCCTGAAATTATTTACTTTTTCCGACGGAAGATCTGCTCCCCTTCCTAAGCTAAGACACCCCTTCCCTCAGGGGCATCGCAAATGACTAATTATGGACCAATAGTCTATTTTATACTGAGAGTCGATTATGGCACCTCTAGGTGCCAGAAATGGCACTCATTCAGACTTATTCAGATTTTATCTCCATTTTTAAAACTTTTGACAAATGTAGGGAATCCTGGTCGGCTGGGCACCCCATCCCCACTTGATTATGATATATGTCCTACAGTCAACATCAGAGACATTCGCTGTTATGTATAAATTATGCCCTTTTAGATCAGTTTAGATCAGGGTGTTATAGAGTGAGGATCCTATGTGCAAGGTCACCGCAGGGACCCCTAAAGGTTGATGGCCCTGTAGACCACCGCACGGACGAGAGCGCATACGCGTTATGTCACTGAGCATAGACTATAGCTGTTCTAGTAGGGTACACTACATTCCGGTAATGCAGGTAAAAAACCCTGTCTTAGGTCTCCGTCTTTTAGCCTTTTTTACATTCTGTTTTGTGAAATCGTTGGAAAAAATTGGCGTTGGGGATACAGTGTAATGTGGTGTTCGCTGTCAATCAATAGAAAATTCAAAATTTGTGACTTGTAAAATAATCAAATTCACCCCCACTGCTGTGACCGCCACTAAGCTCATGGGTACACTTATATTTTTTTCCTCTTTTCTCCCTTTAATTTTTCTCATTTCTTTTCTCCCTCTTTTTTATTTTTCAGTGGAATTGACGGGAGGGGAACCAGGACCCCTGTAGCACCCCCACTGAATCCGCCCCTGCATGATGTCATGGCGAGATTGCGTCAAGTAACATCGGAGTTCGTAAACTTGTTGTATCGCTACTTAAATAAGTCGAAATAGACAGACCTATCCATGGGTATATATAAGGCTGTATAATTATTGTTTATAACGGCTATATATAATTCAATTTACTAACTATATATTTTTTTTAATTAGGAAAAACAGGAATTTATGTATGCAGATAATATTGAACACTAGTATAATATATGGGCCTTAATAATAACAAAAGAAATAAATCATTTATAGTAAAAATTTTGAACTTTGAGTTCGTAAAAATGTTGTCCTAATAGGTTTACACACTACAGTACATTGTTTTCATAATAAATGTAGCCTCTGATAACCGATGCATCCATAAAATTGAGTGGTTACTGAGATCATGGAGTTATTCCTCCATGCTGAGATGTACAAACAATTGCTTTTTTACTGAGTATTGGTGCAGAAATAAGCACAGCACCTGGAACAGAGCACAAGTGAATGGACAAAATTCATGACGGTCACTCATAATTGTTGTTATTTCCACTCGTTTCGAAAAGTGGGGTTTTAACTACAGAATATATAGAAGGCAATTGATATGATGTCCCCACTACTTTGAAAAGTGGGGAGACGCGTCTTCCCCTGTCTCCCACCGATCAACGCCCATCATCACATAAATATTATTTGTGTAAGAAATACATCAAAAACTTACTAAAATTAAATCAATATATATTTTTTATATTATAATTATCAGTATTCAGATACTTAATATTAATCATTAAATTGATCAAACTGATTGAAAACATACAATGCAAAATTTGTTTCATACATCGTGGCTGAACTTGCTCACGGCTAAAATGGTCATCCACCATTCTAACCTTGCTCAATTATTTTACGAGGCAAAGATGTTTTTAAAAAAATAAAATAAAAAATTTGAACAGAAATTTTACATGCCCATATAATACAATTCTCCAGTTTGTTAATGAATAGCTTTATAAATTATTGTAGGCCTACATAATTGATTTGGCAGTGGCCTATCCATACTGTGGGTAATTAATTGGTTGACATTCTGTTCCTAGTTGGATTGGGCCGAGTTTGGGTGGTCTGAGTGATTGGAGTAATGGTGTTCGCAAGGTATTGTAGCCCTATATTGTTAACGTCTTCATAGTATCTAGATATGGGTGCTCGTGCCTAGCCTACCTAGACCGTCACCTGCCATATATCTAGATATATATGGGTGCTCATGCCTAGCCTACCTAGACCGTCACCTGCCATATAGATATTGGCTGAGTGGATGGTAATAGTAGTAGTGATATGCTTAGCTTAATTAATTCACAATAAATAGCAATTATTACAGGTCTAGGCTATATACAGGAAAAGGTGATAATTAAATAAAAATCATACCTTTTACATTTATCCAGGACGGTACTGTGCACTAAAAAATCCCCTTTGAGGTGTATTAATACTTAAGCACGAAGCAGAAGATACTGAAGACAGTATACTGAGATACAAAACATTGGACTCGTCTAATACCTCCTAACAATTGGTTTCTTACAATGCAGATAGTATACACACTTCGTGAAAGAGGATACTGTTGCCATAGAAGCAGCATAAACAAGTACGTAAATAAGCTGGAATGCTACATTTACTATTAAGGGGTGTCCATTGTGTTATTGTTAATATCACAGATCATAATACAGTTCTATTCGCCCTCCAATTCGAGACAACCTCTGGGAAATGAAAATGTGGGGTGGTCTCAGGGAAAGATATAGTAGGTGGGGGAGCGAACGTCCCCCCGTTTTACCACTAAATTTTAAAATTTCAAGGCATATATTGCAATAAGCGCTCTCACTTTATTCTGAATATGTTGTGCCCCCCACCCCCGTTTGAAAATTCTGAATCCGCCCTGGGTCTCGGGGTTGGTCTCCAATTAGAGGGCTAGCTTTTTGTTAAAAGGTTGAAGATTTTTATTTGGGTCTTTGGAAAAGTGGTCTCGAATTAGAGGGGTCGCGGAATTGGGTCTCGAATGAGGGTGCACTGTAATGTAACAGTGGCGTATCTAGGGAAACGAAAAATCCCAGCCCAGAAAATGATTGCGTCCCTCCCACAGTTCGTACCCCTCAGGCTCAGGCACCCCAACCAAGAAATTTGATGAGCAAACAAATACAAATACCAGGCATTATCATAAGTAGTTAAAATCACCTCAACAGCTTTCCCCCAGTTAGCACCCCAACACATCTGGTACAGACAAGCAGCTAAAGAACAGGGCGCAATTAGGTCTAGGCCTACTTGTTATTTATAAAATAAAATGAGTGCAATTTTATTATAGACCTAAGTACATTTTTAATTGATTATGACAATACATTCTGATTTTTATAAATGTTGGTATTACAACGACGAGGCTTACTACATGTCGCGCGCGGGTAGTATCCGATTTGCAGTGGTGGTGCAAAAGGGGTAAAGGAATTCTCCGTCGGGCAGTCCTGGACCACCTGTCGTCCGTCGCACGTACCACTATGTCGTCGGATAAAAAAAAAATAATAATAATTTACCTATTTAAATAACGTTATTTTAATTGCCAATTTCTAATATGTGGTCTGCAAGCACATTTTGGTCTACCATGTAGGAAAATGGGTCTACTAAGCCACAAAAACTCTCCCGTGAACTCCCCAATGGTTTTTTTTTATCCCGGGCCGTCAACTGAGGCTCTGAGTTGGCCTCTTGGTTCGGACCCCTCCATTGGACATGTTAGACCCTGTCTGCAAATTTCTGGTGCTACCGTTGCCGTTTGCATTGTAAGGTTAAAGTATATGCAAATATTACAACAAAT